AGGGCGTGGGCAGACCTGCCTGTCTCTGTTGTGTATTACTTTAAACAGCTCACACTATGTACTATCAGTAATCTCTATTACCAGAAGGAGAGACCATGGCAACTTTAGGTCTCACAAAATTAGAGTACCAACTCCAGGAACCACTAAACCAATTAGAGAAATTCACCTTTACGATTCTGTTTCCCTAGAACCACTCCTGATTCCAAAATCTGTTAGGGCTGTCTAGAAGAAAAGATTTAACATAAGTTATGATTATACAAGGGATTTATGAGGGTTAGGATTAGAGTATCAGAATCAGAAGGGTTCCAGTGGCCATCTGCAGCTCAGAGACAGAAGAATCCAAAGTGGTCATCTGCACTCTGGAGAGCTGGAGGGTCCAGGAGCAGTCAAGGGCAGAAGGCTGGGAGCTCACTGCAGAGCCACCAGTGCAAGTCCATGTCATAAGGCTAGACTCCGTATTAGAAGGCTGAAGAGTCTGCACTGGAAGCCTGAAGCAACCGGAGACCAATATCCAAAGGCAACAGCAAAGGCTTCCTTCTTTCCCTGTTCATTTTGTCCAAGTTACAAGCCTATATGTTGGTGCCATCCACATCCAGTGTGGTTCTTCCCCATTCCATCTGCTGGCCTATATGTCCACTATCCACAGACATACCCAGAATTTACTAATCTTCTGGTTGGTTCTGATTCAAGTCAAGTTGAGGTGTCACAATTTCCATCACAGTAGGATTCACCTGTAAAGACATGTGACCCTATTTTCTTTTTGTGGCAAGGTTTTAACTGCTGATAAAATTACTTAAAATTGCGTAAAATTATACTTTTTTATTTCTTTTTTATTAGTATGTTTGCAGTATTTCTTTTTGAGGGTATTTTAAATTACATTTTTAAAAGGAGCTTAGCCATTTCACTGACTGTTTTTCATGTATAGGCATAAAGCTGTTCAACAGAATTTACCAAAAGCCATGAAGATGAATGCTGGCTTTGGTGCAGGCTGACCTCTCAGATTCTGCTTTCATGCCTCTCATGGGAGCTCAACAGATCATAAGAAGCCATGTTTATTGTATTTCTCCAGCATTTTAGTTGTGTCAATCAGTAGAACTTTTCTTTGCAATCACAGTGCATTATTTCTAATGTCTAGAAATAATTTGATTTTGCTGTTGAATGAAAAAATGGACAAACAAATCTCCATCCTATGAAAAAAGAAAATGAGGTGCAGAGAGGATAAGGGATGGATCCAGACTGGAAAGCACATTCCCAGGAGGAACAGGCCTCGAAGGCCACCTGAACCTGTCTCAAGATCTCTCTCTGTCGTATTTTCCTGTTTAAGAAGAGGACTTTGAGTAGTTGTCTCAAAATAGCTTGAACTTTGACCAGATGGAGATGAGAAGTAATTATAAGCACAAAATAAAGCTTGGAGAAACATTCAGAAGATTGACTGGAATGATGAGGCAAATGAGATTCTTAGCAAGTGCACTTTGATGGATGAAAGAATGGACTCAATGATACAGGGTAAGGAGGTGATCCGAACTGCAGCCACTGCAGGGGTCTATTGCATATATGCAAATGATGAGAGGGACTCAGGTGCTATGGTTTATACCTAGATGTCCTCATGGGCTCTTATGTGGGACTTTGGGAGGTGACTGGTTCATGGGGTGATGATACTTATTGGTGACTTAGTCCACTGATGAGTTTGTAGCTAAATGTGATGTTGGGATGTGAAGTCTGATGGGAGAGGAGGGTCACTGGGGCTGTGTCCTGGGAGGGTCTATCTCCTTCCTCCTTTGATCTGCTTCCTGTTGCCATGCCATGGATTGTTTCTCCTCTGCCAGGCCACCCTGCCTTGGAGCCAGCTGACTATGAATGAAACCTCTACAAATTGTGAGCTAAAATAAACCTCTCCTTCTTAGACTTGTGGGTGTTGCATATTGTGTCTCAGTGACAAGAATAATGATTAAGACATCAGGTGAAGGACACAGGCACCAGCCTCTGGGGAGGTGATGAAATCAGAGGGCAGCTGGGAAAAAGTAGGTCCCTGCCCTGGGATGGAAGGGGGTGACATTCAGTGGCTTTAGAAGCAGATGATGTGGTGTGTGTGTGTGTGTGTGTGTGTTTGTGTGTTTTATTATGTTTTTGAGGTTTTGGAGAGAAGTTGAAAAATCCCAACTCTTGCCCTCTGTTCATGTCCTCTGTGATGAAAGTCCGGGAATGCATGTTTCCTCTCAGGGTTACTTGCTGATTGCTACTCTTTCATTGTTTTGAGCTGTGCAATGAAAAAGATGAGCATTATACTTTTCCCCCAAGGAATGACCAACTACTTAATTTTTATTCCAAAGAACAGTAAAATGAAAGCTAAATTTTTCTCATTTGTGACTTGAAAACTAAAGAGATTTTCTAATTTTAGTTTTCAAAAAAAAAAGACAACAGTTCACCTAAACACAGGAAGATGACATTGAAGAATTCAGTGAGTATTACAGACTGTTACAGATTTCATGAAGTAGCAAGCGACTTGGTCTTAGCTCAATAGGGACTCTGCTGGGAAGATAATGCTTCTAGGTTTGTTGTTGTTTGCAAAAAGGATTTGACTCTTTATTTTTAAAATTAATTTTATTGGTACACAATGAAGATACATAATAACATTTATCACAGGGAATGTGTACCTGTACATATCCTGACTCTTTTTCTGCCATTCCTCTCCCTTCCCTTCAATTCCTCTTCCTCTCCTTATTTACAAAAGTGTTCTCTCTTTTCCTTCTTTTTTTCTTTTTCCTTCCCTCCTCCTCCCCAGTTCCCCATCCCATTTGAACATTTTATTTCCTATTTCACAATATCTATTATACATTTTGGTCCTTATTTACCCTTTCAGTTTCTCACACCAGAGAAACAATGCGGTATTTAAACATGTGTGTCCTATTTATTTCACTTAAGAGTATGATCTCAAGTTTATCTTTATGGCAAAGTGGTACTCCATTGTAAAAAACCAAAACAAAAAAAACACATGTTCTTTATTCATTCACTGTTTAATGGGCATTTGGGCTGTTTCCAAAATGTAGCTATGACAAACTGTGCTGCTATAAACATGGGTGTGTATATATTGTTGTGCTGTGATGGTTTTAATTCTTTTGGGAAGATACCAAGAAAAATAGCTAGGTCAAATGGAACCTGTAGTTTTAGTTTTTTGAGGAATCTCCACACTGATTTCCACAGTAGTTGCACCAGTCTATATTCCCATCAACAGTGGAGAAAGGTTCCTTTTCCCCCATAGCTCTGCCAGCATTTGTTGTTTGATTTCTTGATAATAGCCATTCTTTCTGGAGATAAGAGTCTCTGTGTTGCTTTAAATTGTATCTCTCGAATGACCAGTGATGTTGACCAGTTTTTCATAGATCTATTTGCCTTTTCTCTTTCTTCTTTTGAGAAGTGTCTATTTATTTCAGATGCCCATTTTTGGACTGGGTCTTTAAATTTGTGGGAGGTCCAATTTTTCTGAGTTCCTTATATATTCTAGATATTAGTCCTTTGTCTGAGAAACAGCTGGCAAAATTTTTTGCCATTGTGTGGGTTATCTCTTCACTCTGTTGGTGGTTTCTTTAGCTGTGCAAAAGCTTTTTAATAAGATGAGATGCCAGTTGTTCTTTATGATATTTCCTGTGCAATCAGGGCTTTGTTCATAAAATCATTGCCTACACCTATGTCTTCAAGAGTTCTGCCTGTTCTCTCTTTCAGCAGATTTAGTGTTTCTGTTTTAATATTTAGATACTTGATCCATTTCAATTTTAGTTTAGTGCATGGTGAAAACATGGGTCTAGTTTTAATCTTCACCATGTGGAAAAACAGTGTTTCCAGCATTATTTATTAAAGAGGCTATCTTTCTTCCAGTAAAGGTGTTTTGGGCCCTTTGTCAAAGATGAGGTGGATGAGTGTGTTGGGAGTTGCTTCCGTCTTCTGTATCTTCTAACTGGTTGCACTCATTCTCAAGTCTGTTTGTTTTGCCAGTATCATGCTGTCTTTATCATGGAACTTTTGTAGTATAATTTCAGGTTTGGAATTGTGGTGCTGCTTCCTGCCTTACTTTTATTGCCCAGAATTGCTTTTGCTATTCTAGGTCTCTTCTGGTTCCAAATGAATTTTAGGATTGTTTTTTCTAATTCTGTGTGGTACACTGTTTTTTTTTTTTTCCATACCGGGGCTCGAACTTGGGACCTTCCACTTTCGAGGCAGGTGGTGGAACCACTGAGCTAAATCCCTGGCCCTCACTATTTGTATTTTGATTGGGATTGCATTAAATCTGTATAACAATTTTGGAAATATGGCCATTTTCACTATATTGGTTCTTCCTGCCCAAGAACAAAGGCTATCTTTCCATTTTCTGATATCCTCTTTGATCTTTTTCAGAGCACTGTAGTTTTCAATGTAGAGGTCTTTTACTTCCTTTGTTAGAGTGATTCCTAGGTATTTATTTTTTTGGACACACTACTGTTAAAGGTGTTGATTCTCTGATTTCTCTCTCAGTGAGTTTATTTGTTTACAGGAATGCTACTGATTTTTGAGTGCTGACTTTGTATCCAGTTATGCTACTAAACTTGGTTATTAAGTCTCTTGGAGTTTTTGGGGTCTTCTATGTAGAATATCATGTCAACCACAAATAATAATTAAATTTCTTCCTTTCCTATTCTTATTCCTTTTCTTTCTCTTATGATTGCTCTGGCTAATGTTTCCAGAACTTTATTGAACAGTAGCACTGACAGTGGATATCTTTGTTTTGTTCTTGATTTTAAAGTGAAAGCTTTGTCTTTGATCATTTAATATGATGTTGGCTGTTGGTTTGCCATAGGTGGCTTTTATTAGATTGAGATAAAGATCATTTATTCCAATTTTCTGTAGGTTTTTGTTTATCATAGTGGGTGTTGGACTTTGTCAAATGCTTTTTCTGTGTCTCTGAGATGGTCTTCTAGTTTTGTCCTTGGTTCTGCTCATATGGTGGATTACATTTATTGATTTGTGCATGTTGAACCATCCTCACATTCCTGGGATGAATCCTACCTGGTTATGATGTATAATCTTCTTGATGATTTGCCAGTTTGCCAGTATCTTATTGAGGATTTTTGTGTCTGTTCATTGGGGAGATTGGCCAAAAAGAAACCAGAAAATTTCATGGAGTACATATCCTCTCAATATGGTGATTTTATCCTCAGGAGAGAAAATTTCAAAGGGGTTAGGGAAAAAATAGAGAAATAGAAGAGAAAGAAGTTAAAAGCAAGGCTGGAGGACAAAGGATGATTACATAAGCTTTGGGAAAATGGTGAAGATGACAGGAAGGAAAGAAAGAAGAAACAAACAAGAACAGAGCAAAACAACAACAACAAAAAACTAGAAATTATGTTCATACTCATATAAAAACACAAACAAACAAGAAACAAAAAAAAGCAAAGAAAGGAAGAAAAGAAGAAAACAATGTCCACTTCAGGGCATATCTCTGCTGTTACTGGTAGACGGGGGGCAGACAGAGCCCAGATGATCTCAGCTAGTCAGCAGTAGAATTAAGGTGGGGTGGTGGATAATCCCAGCCAGCCCTGGCCTTTACTTTTCCCCTGAAGTTCAGGCTGCTTCTGGTTTCCGGCTGTGAGGCTGATGTCGGAGTTGTTCAGCCCACAACACTCCAGGTGCCTCCTGCCAGGTTGGACTTGGCTCCCTGACCTCCCTGCCAACTTGAACCTGCTGGCACCTCACCCTGACACTGGGAGCCGCTAGAAGGAGCCAACCTGCAGTTCAGAGTTCTGTTTATTCAGGACCTTTCCAAAATGGTGACCAGCCAATCATCCTCTTCTGGGTGACATCTGGACTGGAAAAAACCAGCAACTGCAGTCTGGAGTGTCCACTACTCCATTGCACTGGTGTGTTTCTCCATGGGGGCCTGAGGTCACTAGCAGTCACTGTGTGTGTGCGCAGGTTTGGGCTGCCCCTCCCACACTGTGGGCGGAGGCTCAGGGAGAGAGCACCACTTGCCATCTCCCTCTTCTTTGCTGGGGTCCCTCTCTTTCCTCTCCCTATGGGCTCCAATTCTTGCTTCCGATCATTATTGGGACCCTATGTTCCTATATTCATGTTCCTATATTCCAGCATCTGGACTCCAAATCTCAGAGAGGCTGTTTCTCTGCTGCTTAGCAATCTGCCATCTTCCCAGAAGTTCCAAAAAAGGATTTGATTCTAATTGTTCCACTTATTCAGATGATCTTAATGTTTCTTTGGGACTTCCAACCATGGAAATGAGGGTTTATAGCTGATGCTGTGAGTTTCTCCCTCAGCACCTGGTAACAAGTGGAAAAGACATGATTCCAAAGGCCAGGTAAACAGACATTAGTCAAGTCTGTAGCCCTTGGAGGCTTTTCACTCTTTCTGATGAATGTGGAGTGGGCTGTGTGCTTCAAAATTTGATAATATGCTTGTGCTTTCCTATAATAGATCATTTGCCAGTATAAAGACAGCTCAATTCCTTTTGGACAACCCATGCAATAGTTGTTAAGTAAGGGTCAGCAGGATATGTAAGGATATGTAAGGTAAAACATCTCTCCATGGAATCCAGGACACTGAATGGAAGAATCATTGCTCTACAAGTCCTTAAAGGTTTACTGATAGCCATAAGGGAATAATTATTGGCCAACAATGAAAATCAAACATGTATTCATATTGGAACTCACAGATCACATTGGCTTGACAGAGACCTAGAGCAAATATAAAGGAGTTTTGAATCCTCGCTTACAAAATTGCCCTTTCCACACTCTGCACTCTCCCACACATACTCCTGTACCATGCATTTGGAGAAAATTAAAAACATTTAGTGTGTAGTTTCTAGTCTATCATATAAAATAGACTTATTGTGATACTAAGGAAGCTTAAACTTAAGGACACCTTCCTTGCCCAGGCACATAGTCGTATTTTTTATAATTTTAAAATATTTTAAGCATAACTGAATACAAGTGTCTCTCCTCTTGCTTTTTGGTTGGGCAGCAGAGTGGCTGTGGACTCAGGATCAGGCCAAGGGGAAGCTGAGTTGGGAGACATCTACTGCAGGCTCATGGGAAGTATTGTGTGGCTTGGGTAAACTCAGAAGACGGTTAAATTATTGTGAGCTGTTCTGCTGGCGGAATGAACAGGAAGGAACAGGAATTCCTCCCTTGCCCAGTGCTGTCCTCATCCAGCTTCACAAAGGAGTATGTGAGGCAAAGGCATCTCCCTGATGGGCACAGCTGTGGCTCCTGGCACCAGGTGAGCCAGCGTGTGATGAAGCATGGCCGAAGTGCACACGGTCTCGTGTTCTGAGCACCAAAGTGCATGGGTGTAGGCAGCGGACTGTGCCTTCCCAGTGTTGAGCTGCTAGGAAGATGGGGAGTGCATGGGGTCCCCAGAACCCACATCTCTGGGCTGGTCTCCAGGGGCTGGACAGATTCACTGCTGGCCAGCAGCTGGCCACTCCTCTACTTGACAGTGAGGAACATCACATCTTCTGCTGCCTCTCCTAAAAAAAGATGCTTGGAATGATACATGAGTGACCCTGCACAGCTTTTCCACACTTCAGCTACAGCAACACCATGAGCCACTCCCACTTTGTACTGACAGGCTGTCCAAAAAGACAGGCATGTTCTTGTTTAACCAAACCAGTCTTACAAGTGTAATTCTTCCTTGCAATAGAAAAAAAAAATCACTTTAGTTTCTTACATATAAAACCTTAAATTTTAATTGTAATAAAGTATGAATTCTTTTATAACCTGAATCTCTTTAAAGGTGCACCTATTAGGGTAATAAAAAGAGGAGACAAATATTTTAAATTTTCATCTAATATTAGAAAACATAACAGCATCCATTTTTAGTCTAATAGAGCAAAGGAAATGAAAGTTTCACAGTAGTTATTTTATTTAAACTGGGCTGGTGGTGCATGCCTGTAATCCATGCAATCAAGAAGCTGAAGCCGAGGAATCTTCATTCAAGGTCAGCCTGGCCTACACGTTCAACATTCAACTCTAATCACAGAGTAGCAAACTTTTCAATTCCTTTCAAGAAACAAAGTAGAGAAATTCCTTTTAGAACCTCAGATTATAGGTCAACTGTAAGATACTGTTTGACAGTGAGATGCTTTATTAAACTTGATACATTTACTGTACAAAAATCCTGTGAAAAAATAGGATGTCAAATTATTTTGGATCCAGATCTTTGCATTACAGTCTGTCCCCAAACTATGTCATCTCACTATATCCTGTGACTCTCTCTAGGCACACAGATGACCAAAAGCAGTAATATGCTTCCCAGCAAGCAGAGACAACTCTGGGCTCTCAGCTAGGCTGCTATGGTGCTTCAGGTTCTCAGGAAAGCAGAGAGCGGGGTCTTTGTCTCCACGGAGTGTCATCTCTGGGGTGAGCCCTGAGCAGCTTGCCACCCCACACCAGCTGCACGAGGTTCATGAGGCTCAGGCTTGGGAAGGCAGCTTCCCTTCAACAAGACAGCTCTACTGACTATTTCAAAAGCCCCTGGAGGGAAGAATCTTCTGGAAGAGAGAGGGGGAGAGACAGAGAGAGAGAGTCAGTGAGTCTGAATGATGGCAGGAAGACACACATCATCAGTCAGCTGTGCTAATACAGGTGGAAGGATGAAGTCAGAAAGTAGCAGTTTGCAGAGCACTCCCTGGTGCGCAAACCTGTGGGTGCTCACTGCTCCTGACAGAGCCCCATGAAGCCCTCCATTCTCTTACCAGGCCTACAGGGCCCTGTGGCGAGGAGTCTGTGGTTGGTAAACAGTTCTGTGGAGTCTTGTTCTGCTGATCTCTCCTCCAGGTCTGATTCTGGGATTGGAGTACAGCCACCTACGTAAGAAATGCAGTGTTTCAAGTAGTGTGGGTGAAGGTGTGCCTCTCCACACTGTGCCACAGCTAATTGTAAAGATAATAAGCGATGTAACAGTATTGTAGATAGCTAAGTTAGTTAGAAATTATTTTAAGGCAGTTAGACAAAGCTGGGCCCTTGGCATAAAAAAACAACTGAGGCACATTCACTGGTTAGCATTATAAAAAGAGATGAGGTAATGCAGTTACCTACTTCATCTAGAGATAAATAGCAGTGATTGATATTCTAAATAGACATCAATTTTTCTAGCCCATTTCCCTTCTGGAAATTCCTTGTATGTGACTTGTTTTCCCATTTGATCCTCATTTAATCAATATTTCCTGGGTGACTGTACTTGTAATTTTACTGGCTGATCATGGTTTTGTCCCACCTCATGCCCACTTTGTAATTTTCCACTGGGTCTCGTAGTTTTGTCCTACTTTGTACCCAACTTACCTTATTTGTTTTCCCCATTAAGTTTATTGGTACACTTTAGGTATACAGTACAGTTACATTCATCATTGGGATCTTGTACCTTTACATGATGCATCTTGGTTCTTATTTTTT